ACACGCCGAAGAAGTCGGGCCCGGCGCACGCCATTGCGATATTAATATTCCGTCTTTAAGCGCGATAAATCAACGGGAAATACGTCGTTCATCCCCCGATTCCGCTTGCGGCGACCTCCGTCCGTGGTTTCGGGTTACCCTGTGCCGGAAATCTTTCGGAAGAAAACTCCCCTGTTGTACCTTCATTTATTCGTGCATTTCATACATCGTATTTTCGCGCGTATTTTATATCGAGGAAATCAAGTAAAATAAATAAAGGTGGATGAAGAGGTATGCGCGATGTGGCACAAAACGAATAATGTGTATGACCCTGTCATACAATCACTCATTCGACGAAATCGACGAAGGATCGTTCTAGAATTTTGAAGAAGTCTTTACAAGGGACAAACCCGAGACTTTGCTCTTCCATATGTTTCTCTCACGGCACTCGAAAGAACTGCACGACTATCGGCCGCCGGCTCCGTGCCGCCAGTGGGATTTCGAAAGAGTGGAAGATAAAAAAAGGCAAAGAGAGGCAAAGGCACAGAGACAGACCTCCTTCCCTCCTCTCCACCACCCTTCCGACGGCGCGACTAAATAAAAAGTATGACGAGAAGCACCGAGTGCGACTCGGCGGCGGCTGCTTCATGGACCGCGGGAATTTCAGCCCCCGCTGTGAGCCACGATGGTGCCACGGGGAGACCACGCACCCCCTTCCTTCCTTTCCCTTCGTACGTATTTTTGTGATGCAAACCACACGCAAAGCGCCACGCGATCTATATACCTCGGTTTCCCACCTCGTTGCGGCTGAAAGTGGTCTCTCGCTGGGCATGGGGCGATCCAATTTTCTCCTCAAGGTTTCTCCCTCGAAACGGGCTTCCCGTAGGGCTTTCTTCCCATCGAGATGGGAAGTTCTAAGGTTAATGAATGAATTCAACGGAAGAACTATAACTCCTGAACTCTCTGGCAGAGTCATTTCGTCTCATCAACATTCTATTCGAGGTCGATAGAGAGAAACCCCATGTCTGTTTTTAATTTTTACCAATTTTTATCAATTAAACTCAAACGCGCGCGCATCCTCTTAACAAAATTAATTAAGAAAACTCAATGCTAAATAACTATCACTACGGATCAGCTTGTACTGTCAAACTTTACTATCGCGCGCCAGCGGCATAATTTTAATTAAGGAGACATTTGGAATGTCGAAAGCAAATTATTAGCTGCGGCAACGTCAAGCACGAAATCGCCGCCGGGAATAGCCTGTACTCGTAAAGGTGATTCAATTTTTCACAATCGTCGTAAACAGGCTCCAAAGAACATAACAGCTACCGAAATGGTCATCTCACTGGTAAGGTCGGTAAGGCCGAGGGCCTCCGAGAGATCCCAGGACTCGATGGTATTCCTAAGGGAAAGCCTACGGGAATCAAATCTAAATGAAAGATCTGCGGGTGGAGGGGCGAAGGGAAATAAAATCTCTTTCGGCGTTCCTCGGACGCATCATAAGTAGTGGAGGTCGGATAGTGGGAGGCGCAGAGGTAGAGGAGCGGTGTGAGGGAGGGGGTCGTAGGGCTATCTCTCCCGAATCTCAAATCTAAAGACTCCGAACATATTTTCTCGAGTTTAGAGTCAGGCCTGGTTCCTCCATTGGCTGTCGAAGAATCTACGTCCGTCGGGCCCGGGATCTTCTTCCTTTCCCTTCCCTCTTCCGCCTCCCTTTCTCTCTCGCCATCGTTTTTTCGCTCTCATCGTCCTCCTCTCGAGTTCTTCTACCTGTTCGCCATGTTCCCCCGAGATCAAAGCACGCCGACGCCAGCAGCCCGGTCCGTGGGGTGTCATCCGAGATGAAGGGTGGGAACCAGCGGTTGCAGGAAGAGTCCGGAGAGGAGGGCCAGAAGGTAGGGCACACAAGGAAAGGTGGCCATACAATATTCATTAATGTGCCGAGGTAAGGTCGCTGGGGGTATTTCTCGGAGGATGAATCGAGAATTGAGTATAGCCGCCGTGCTGATATAAATCATAGCATGCCTGAAATCGATCGGGAGGAAGAGAGAGAGAGAGAGAGAGAGAGAGAGAGAGAGAGAGACGAGAGAGAGAGAGAGAGAGAGAGAGGAGAAGGGCCTCCGTTGCCTGACCTCATAACGACATCACGTAAAAGAGCTAAAAGTCCTTCGGGAAACGAGGCCGATTCTCGAACGATGATTTATACGTGAAAGCAAGCAAGATGTATTATAAATGACTTTGCATAAAAAAATTATCTTGGCGATACCATTGTTCAAATGAATGTTTCCTGTACGTGTAACAATTTCTCTCCGCTAAATCTTCGCTGCCCCGACAATGACTAAGATTGTAAGCGACACGCCATAAAATTTATAAAACGCATCCGAGATGAATGATACGATACGATCGTTTAGGACACAATGCTCCGACGAGAATCATTTTCGAAGTTAAGATCGCGGGACAATAGCGTTCGTGTTCTTCAGTCAATCCGGCATTTTTTCAACGGCTATCAACCGTCTGGCATCTGGCTTGTCGTCGAGAAAGGCGATATGACTCCATCCTCATTTTTTTGTCCTGTCAAACGAGTTATCTCATTATTTGAAATTTAACAGTACTTGTTTTTAAATATACTAGTTTTTGGGAAATTTATTAATTACATTTCTTTATTCTTCAATTATTCCGATACATCCATCTTGAAAGATATATATGCGATATTGAGTTTCGATAAAAAAATATTTCTGCAGGATATGACAAAGCAACAGTAACAAAAAACGGTAAATACGCGATATTAAGCCGCGATACCAAAGTAATGGATGGTTGCCATTAATTTTGTATTTACTCGGTTATCTTACGCAGTTAAAGCAAGAAGACCCCCTCAGTGGTGTTATCGCCAAGTCAGTGCCGATAATGCGAGAATGTGCGCTCTCTCACGTATCCCATCACTTTTACAAACCTTCTTTCTTGGAAAAAAGGACAGGACATACGATGAAAAAGATTATTTGCGTTAGAGAGATAAATTTATAACGCGTAGGTTAGACAGAGCGCGCGAGCAATTGAATCTTGTCGGTTCTTCTTCGATCATAAGACGATGGGCAACTTTTCCACGAAGTATGTATTGAGAACCGCTCGCACTGATAGCAACAGGTGGATCTTGATCCCGATAAGCCTGAACTTGTTTACTTCGAACCGCCAGACGCGAGTCGCGACGAGATTAGATTGCCGTTCAATTAGCACCCCGACGAAGAAATGTCGCTACCAGACGGCATTTCGTTCTCATAAGAAATATAGAAAAAAAGTCTCCCAAAAGTTTTGGAAATTTCTGAATGTATATTCGTAATTCTCATAAAAAAAAGAAAATAAATAAGAAAGAAGTGCGGTCGTGTTAATGACATTGCGATCGTGCTGTAAATCAGACGATCGACGGCCGAATAAAGCCACGCGGCTTGCATAACGCGATAAAGGGAGATTTCTCACGGATCATCAGGCCCGTCTTCCCTTTGTGCGATCGAAGAAAGTCGACCGGGGTTTTTCCCGGGTTTTGTTCGCGAGGCATCGGCCAATCGATGTGATCATCCTCCACGGGATGGAAAACGGGCCTTGTCTGACTTTTCATCCGTGGAGAATGGACCCATTATCTCACGCGCATGATGCGCGTTTACGACATCTGTTATGTCTACGAGAAGCGTATTTTCCACTCGGGAACGAAGTGGTCTTTATAAATCGTTTTTGGCGTTACGATTTACAACGGGGGGTTAAGCATCTCGATTAATGGCGCCGAGTTAATTATTTACATACGCATATTTACGCAGCCTCGGTGCAATATAGCGCCGAGACAAATAAACGAAAAACAAAGAGAAAATTAATGCGGTCCGCATTTTCTAAATATAGTAGAGTGACATTGAACTTCACATATCGCGCGAAATATTCCTACTTCAAAATGTCTGCCGAAAGAGAAGAGAAATGTCTACGTTCGAACAGCGAGGCATTCTCGAGATACATTCGAATAACATGAATTCTAGCTTCCACTGTGTGTTAGATAATGATTCTAACATGCCGCGGAGAATGAAAATAATATCACCTTGACCAGTTGTCCGAATGATTAATGACGATGCGCCTGCGGAAGATTAGTCGGTCAAAGGAAACATCATCACTCCCCCCCTCCTCCCCCTCTCCATCCTTCATCCTAATTAGCGTGTTAATTCCGAGCTCTTAGATAAGGTTTGGCCGATGTTTACGACGGTTTAGCAAGAGCCACCAATCGCGTTCGCGTGATTGCTCGGTGCAAATGTTGTCGCGACAAATAATTCGTGGCAAATCGAATTATATAACGGGGAATTTTTCCTCTGCTGTGACGCGATATTTCTACGCCGTGTAACGCCGCGACTCGACGATAGCGTCGGACGCGTCAATTCCCCTTTTTAATCACATCGTAAATTTACGTTGGACTCTGTTCCACGCGTCGAGAGCATATTTCTGCATATAGATGTAATTGCGGATGCCACGCAGGTTGACTATAACCGTCGAACAGCATTGCCTAATGAGAAATGATGCTGATCTCTCCGAGGTCACGGCACACTCGGACGAGATCATCGGCGCGTGCTCGTCCAATTATGAAGGCTCACGCCTACGGTCAGATGTCATTTAATTCTTTATCCGCTCTAATATTTCTGTCGATCGCGTCGGCTCGCCGGCGCGCTAATCATCGTTCCTCTTAAGCACCGCACGAAGACGCAAATCGTCTCTCCTGCCGTTATCAATTGCGTCATCGGGCCAGAAACGTGTTCTCCAACAAGATCACCGACGACCTTCACCGGATCGCCTTTCGGAACGGCCACTTCCTGATGACGAATGCCCCCCTCCCCTCCCCTCCCCCCCCGGATCGAAGGTGCCCCCGGCGGCCGTCGTCCAGGGTCGCCGTCGTCATTTTCGCGAGCGCGTGATTCTTCGCCGCCGGGAAGAAATTACCGGGCCACGACCGGGGCGACTCGTCGTGTTGACTCAGCTTGCAGTCCGCCCATTCACACCGACGCGTTAATACGGGAGATAACACATCATCGCTCAGTTGTGAAAGATACGCGCGGACTTTGTTCCCCATCCGCGACGATCAGCAGCGAGTCGCATGAGAGACGAAGCCGACGATAGCGCGGTCACGTCAAATTCGGCGGGTCGCGATTACAATGCGGGGGGTAACCGGGCGACCTTATCTCAATGTTTACGAGATAAATCTATATTTGCCTCTCTTCTTTTCGTGAATCAGTACGGATCGATTTTTTTTTCGTTTTATCAATTTGGGACCGTCCGCGGAATGAGGCCAATTCATAATTCATTTTTTTCTTTTTTATAAAATTCCATCTCGAAATTTTTAATTTAATTCACTAATTAATTCAATTAGCCTGATTTCGTCATCCTGATCCAATTTTTCTAAAATGTATCGATCATTGCCTACTGTTAGAAACTATAATGCTAAAATAATTGTTAACGTGCGCGAGCTTTTTTCATAATGTATATTTATACACTCGGCTATACAAATATTTCATAACAAATTTCTATTTAATCAGTTCCACGTCGAATCTACTCGATATTAGCTCCGTCTGTCAAGACGACTGTTACGAAGCCGACACGACAAACTGTTATCAGTCCTTCTTCTCTGTGCTGGTGATACCTATGGAGGGGCAATGGAGGCGATAGCGCAACCATATATAAGCCTGCACATTCGTCATCGCAATCAGTTTGATATTCCCTCACGTTTCATTTTACTAGAGTAGCGTTCGTACGACATTCTGGTCACATCGAGCCTTCGTCTCAAGTATTTTTAAGCGAAGATAATTTGAATAAAAAAAAAAAAAAGAAGTAACGGTAAATAAATATCTATAGTGTCTTTCAGCGTGCTATAAAAGGAGCATCCAAGGCGTAACTGCCAACTCAATTGGCGAAGATTTATCGAGCTTTGTTCGTCGAGCTCCGAGCGCGATTTTTACATCTTCCTCTTTCTCTTCGAACCCTTCGTCGTTTTCACCAGTCAGTAAGCGTGGCAAGTAACACGCAACCAAGGAAGATGGGATTCTCTTAGCATCGACTGGGCTATTCCCGCGCTGACTTCCGCGATTAAGTTTGCTGTTCTCTGAATAGATCGGACCCACCGGACTTACAACTATTTTACAATTGTTATTAAAACAAAAAAAAAAAAAAAAATACCTGTCAAAAATCATACGCACGAAGACTGTCTCCGAGAGTGCTACGGCAGTGTCTTATGATTTCTTTGTCGCGATCCAGCCCAGTTATGTTTTCGATCAAGTACAGCAAGCAATTCCTGAGCTACCGTATACTCAAGTCCAACCGGTTCAAGTATATCTGACGATACGGACTCGGACTACGTGATAGAGGGTGCGCGCAAGGTGGTGTGTGTGTATTGTACCGCGGACGACTTGTCGTACCTACGGGGCTCAGGAAGATCGAGGGAAAGAGTGTTTCGGCAAGACCTGGAAAGTCTTGTATCATCCGATGGCCGAATCGCTTTGCACAGCGACGCGAGCTTGAGGAAGTACGTCGACAGAAAATCGACGTCGTCGAAAATCGCTAGTAAGGCGAACCTTTCGAAAGCGAGAGACGGAGAGACGAGCTTGGGAGAAAAAAAATCGTTGCAAAAAGAATTAAATTAATTGGTAACGACAATTGATGATTTTATCGTCCGGGGAGATTTTCAATCAGAAATAAGAGATTACAATTTTTGGAATAAGCTCGCGAGGAAAGCGATTCAGCGAAGAAAATCTAATTGGCAACGTATTATTTTATTAACAAAAAAAAATTGAGAGAATTGAGATTGAGATAATTACAATAAAAATTAAAAATCAAACCAGCCTACGCTGCGGCAGCTAATGATTTTATTACGGAAGCAATTTTTAAGTAGAAAAATAAATTGAATATTAGTCATTAGCGAGACAAAAGACTTCCGAGGGGGAAAATCCCTTCGAGGGGGATAGATTTATCTAGAGTAACGACATTGCTCGAGGATGACATTGCGCATGTCAAATTCTGAGAGATCATTAGAGCGAGAATAAAGCGACAGAAACAGAGTTGAGTAAATCGGAAATTTCTACGAGAGGCACCGAACGCGACTTTTCACGACAACCACACGTATACATTCGCACGTATACACAATCGCGCGCAATTAGGTCTGCATAAAACGCGAATTAAAGACGGAGCCTCTAATTAAAGCGACGATCGAGCGGGATCTGCACGTCTTTGGGGAAATCGGCGAATCGGTTAAAGTCGACGGCAAAAATAATGAAAAAAATGATCGTTTATGTTCCGGGCAGAATGCCAACTCACGTTGGTCCCTACGGCGCCGCTCGTTACCCGGGCACCCTGCTAGGAGCTGTCCCGGGTTTTTACAGCCCGGTTTCTGGCTATTCTACCAGCCCGATCCCGAGCTACTACGGGAGCCTTAGCGTCCAGCATCAACCACCGCTGGACCTTCCGGTGTGGCCGCGAAGGATGCCGGCTGAGGAGGAACAGGGAACCTCGCCGGCCGCTAGTTTGACCGGGCTGGGAACATCTCCGGGTAATGGCGGTCCTCCGAGTCCGGCGCAGAGCGACTCGGATGCATCTAGCTCGAGCTTGGAACTGGGTACCATCAGAACCGGCGAAAATGCCCAACTAAAGTGCAGGTAAGGAAAAAAGGAAAATATACACACTTGTATCGCTCGTGTAATTCGCTTAATAATAATTAAAAAAATAAACAAACAAAAAGTCGTTTCAATAATAAAAAAAAATTCGTGGGATGATAATTATCAATATCTAAAAATTATATAAATTACATGTTCTCTCTAAATATCTCTGAAAAGTCACAGATTGCTGGGTTGACTGATGGATATATTAATTTTCAACGAGTGCATTGTGCTCAGTATTATTGTTATTAAAAGACCAATTAAGATAGCGGTACAAAAAGATAAGATTCACGTTATTTCGAAGAAATTCAGTCATCTTTGTTGAATATTACTAGGAAAAGTCAACTCACTAGGAGAAGTCATTCGGCTTCTAAATCGGATTATTCAATCGGATTTCATCGCACTAAACTCTACATTAGTTTAACTTGTTTATAATTTAAAACGTATAATACAGATAGCTTCCCAGATAGCTTCTCTGGTTTCTCGAGATATATGAAATCGCGTTATCTAAATGCAACACAGATTTCTTGTATCAAGTTGCTATACTTGAATTCCGATTGACGTCGTCGTCTCTTATCACAAAGTAAGCAATGTAATCCTAACGAGCTTTCCTATTTATCTTTCCTTCTTTTCTTTTTTGATCATATATTTATATATTTATCCAAATCAATTATTTTATCTTAATTCGCGTATTTCTTTAACATTTTTAATAACTTAACTTCCTTAACGAGTTTATCTGCTACATCTATTAAAAAATAAAACAAAACAAAGTAATACGCTTCGCAAATTTTTTTACACGTCTCTCGCGTTATTAAGAAATTATCACAACAGGAGGCAGTCGGGCGTTGCGTCGTTGTCTCGCTTCAGTTTGTACTTTGTCACAGACAAAGTCGCGTTCCTCTTAAACGGCGCTAATTTATCTCTCTCGACATAGATGTGCACATGTCAATGTGCGCTCACACACGTGCCGGTTACATACCAGTTACAACCAGTTTTCCGTATCTCCGTTGATATCACGGCGGTCTTTTCTGCTTCTCGGAATACTCGGAGAAAATTCTATAGTTCAAATTCTATAATTCATCTCGACAAGTGCATCTCGAGCGTCTGAGATTAAGAGCTCGCGATTCGTTTTCTTCCTCGCGCATTTTCGCGGAATTCAGATCTATCCGGTGCTCTCTTCAGGGACAGCCTCTCACGGGTACAGGATCGATATCTTTAATGGTAAACAGGTTTGCGACCGGATCGATTTATATTCAAAGTCTACGCATTCTCGACAAAATTTAGATTCAACAACAAGACGAAACGATAGCGATTTCCTTCGGATAACGATAGCTGCTGATTTCACAAAAAGAATCATTGACCGCCGTATTGTTTAAACATTTTTCGTAATTAATTTATCTTCCCAATATATATATATATATATATATATATATATATATATATATATATATATATATATATATATATA